GGATCCGGTCCTGTGTCCATTGTCCTGTAGCATCAATAGTGATCAGAACCATGAAGGGGCCCCTTTGCCTTGGCTGTGAAGGAAGCTATGCATCATCCTGGAAGAAAAGGAGGAGGGTAAGACACCATGTCCTAGAACACCCCTTCAAGTTTCCGGGAAACTGGTCAAATCCAAGGAACAGAGAGCAGGCCTGTACCAGGGTGTATAGACAGTGCATCCTGAAGGACACCAACTTTTTCTCCTGTGGGCCAGAAACTAGGGCAAGTCCATGTGTTCTGCAGAAAGCTGACTTCTTGTATGCATGCCAGGAGAGCTGCTCCTTGGGATTCTGGTCATATGAGGAACAAAGCAAACTAATGCTGTGTTGTCACTGCTTCTGTAGCCTAACGTATACAATCCCTCTCTGTACAGTGACTGTGTGGAGCTGAGGGCACCACAGAAAGGATTTGTGTCCTTGGTCAAGCTGGCCACCACTGTACTAAGTGCTGTGAAGGAGAGGAGGTGTTTTTTATGGTGTAGTCATGAGGCAAAGGAGGTTTTACTTGGTGAAGTACCAAGAGGGACAGAGGTGATCCTGCCTGGCCTTTGCCACTGGACACTCTGGTGAAATGTCCTACTTAGTCCTTTGGGTCTAGACTTTTCCCATTAGGTTTTACCAATACACCTTCTGTCTCACCCCCATCTTTGTGTGTCTTCATTGGTTTCACAGCAACCTATTCCACTGCCCTAGTCAAATGGGCATGGACAATACAGTGGGCCATGGATTAAGCCACTGTGATAAATGAGAAAATGGGATGAGTCATCAGAGTGCCCATTGAGAAGGCCATGGTGAAAGAATGAATGGACATGGGTACCATTGAGGAAGCCATGGGAGAGGCCATTTCAGTGATGACCATAAGGAAGGCCTCAGAGATCAGAGAAGAAGCCAAACCATAGCCATGAGATAATGGAAGACATTCTCTACAGGGAATCATGGGGGAGGAGAATATCATGGAGAAGACAAAGAGCAATGAGGGGAGTGAGTCAAGATGGGACACCAAAATATTCCCAGGCAATACCCAGAGGTCATGGCTAAGGTTAAGGATAGAACCAAGGAAAACCTCACAAGAGTTTGACCATTAAAAATGGGTCAAGCAGAGAGTTTTGAAAGACCAAATCCTCACTGGGCCTGGAAATGACCTCAAATACATAATTCCCAGGACTGTCTCCATAGATCAGGATCAAGGAGGTGGTGAGCCCTTCATGGGGGCTGGGGTGGACCAGTGACTGCACTCAGGGCAGTGTCATTCCCTTCTCCCTGACCCTAGTCATTCAGGTGCCCTTCAGGGTTTAACTCTTTGAAAGTCTTCTTCCTTCCTCCACGTCTCCTGCTGTGCGTGACTATCTTAGTACATTTTCTGCTCTTACAACAGAACACCACAGATGAGGTAATTGATGAGAACAGAAATTTATTTTTTATATTCTGGAGGCACTAGCACCAGTTTTCTGGTGATGGCCTTCTTACTGCTTCCTTCAAAGAAAGGAACAAACGTTATGTCCTTACCTCCAGAAGAAAACCCCACTCCTACAAGCCCCCCTTTTTTTTTTAATTGTTGGTCGTTCAAAACATTACATAGTTCTTAATATATCATATTTCACAGTTTGATTCAAGTGGGTTATGAACTCCCAATTTTACCCCGTATACAGATTGCTGAATCACATCAGTTACCCTTCCATTGATTTACATATTGCCATTCTAGTGACTGATGTATTCTGCTGTCTATCCTATTCTCTACTATCCCCCCTCCCCTCCCCTCTCCTCCCCTCCCCTTTTCTCTCTCTACCCCCTCTACTGTAAATCATTTCTTCCACTACAAGCCCTTTTTGTAATAGCACACATCCATTCATGATGGCAGAGCCCTCAGGACCCAAATACCTCTCTTTAGACCCGTCTCCCAACACTGTTGCATTGGGGATTAAGTTTCCAATACATGAATTCTGGAGGATGCTCTCAGATATGCCAGTGACTGAGGAGAAACTTACTAAACACTAATAAAAGTATATTAAGATATATATGGTATCCAGCTGGGCGTGGTGTAATCCCAACGGCTCAGGAGGCTGAGGCAGAAGGATCACAAGTTCAAAACCAGCCTCAGCAACTTAACAAGACCCTGTCCCAAACTAAAGTATGAAAAAGGACTGGGGATATGGCTCAATGGTTAAGTGTCCCTAGCACAAGAAAAAAAAAGATATATATGGTATTCAGATAAAATCCTTTTTTTTTTTTAAAACTCTTGAGGCTATATTGTTATTGTTCATCATTCCAAATGATTCCTGTCTGCCAACCATTGTGCTGGACGGTTTGTTTTGTATCTTTTTGGGGGGTTTGTTTGTTTTGATACTGAAGATTGAACCCAGGAGCACTTAACCACTGAACCACATCTCCAGCCCCTTTTTGTATTTTATTTAAAGAAAGGGTCTCACTGAGTTACTTAGGTCCTCACTAAATTATTGAGTCTGGCTTTCAACTTACGATTCTCCTGCCTCAGCCCTTGAGCTGCTGGGATGACCCAGTGTGTCACCATGCTTGCCTTGTAAGCTTTTATATAAACCATTACTCAGGCTCCACAACAATCCTATTAAGTGCAGACTATAATCCCCACTAAGTAAATAGCTAAGACATGAGCAAGCAGAAACAGGTTCTTTAATTCCTGGTGATTCTAGAGAGAAAAATGCATGTTATTTTACTTAGAAATGTTATTTGGATTTTTACTATTAGAGCAGGGGCTGAGGTCCCTGAACCAACTGATTATTGGCCACAACCCTCATCCATTCTCCACATAGAACTTCCCATCAGAAACACATGGCTGATTGACTCCCAAGCTCTTTCCCAGGGCATTGCAGAATCTGGACTCCTGCTCCCTCTCCACCCAATATCTTATTTTCTACCTTGGCCCATTTACTTCCCTCTTCTAGAACTTGTTTGTTCATTGTTTTTTCATATCTTAAAATGCCAGCTCCAAAAGAACACAGATTTCTGTGTCTCGTTCACTGGAGTACAACGACCAGTGCATAGTAAGCACTCAAAATGTTTGTGTGATGAATAACTTCAGGCCTCATATCCTCTGAGTATTCATTCACCAAACATCTGAATTATCTTAAATGTTTCCTTTGCCAAGAGACCTAGCTATTCTGGAGAAGATGGAAACTGCTTGTTTTGATCTTACACATTATAGAATTCAAACTCCCATGAGTCTTTTTTTTTTTTTTTTCAGTACTGAGGATTGAACCTAAGGGTGCTCTATCACTGAGCTACATAACTAGCCCCTTTTATTTTTTTTATATAATATGGTCTTGCTTAGTTGCTTCAGGCCTCACTAAGTTACTGAGATTGGCCTCAAACTTACAACCCTTCTGCCTCAGTCTCCCGATTCACTGGATTACAGGCAGGTACCACCTTGCTCAACACCATCTTTGTTCAGCCATGCTATTTCTGTTGCCCTCATCCAGAGTCAACCAGTTCAGGTGAGAGATTATCAGTGCCCCAAGGGCTGCCTCAAGATCAAGTACCCTCCTTGATGGTTCAGCGTGTCTGGCATCTCTAACACTGATGAGAGGAACCAACTGAGGCTTCACCCATGGAAACGGTTCTATGAATTCTTTTAAAAATGAAAGAAAGTCTGGGGATGTAGCTGAGTGGCAGAGCCCATGGCTAACTAGCATGTGTGAGACCCTGGGTTCAATCCTCAGTATCTCAAAATAAAATTAATTAACTAATTAATTAAAAATAAAAATGAAAGAAGAGCACCTTTACCAAGGAGGGATGACAGAAAGGACATTCTTCTGGAGTCATCATTATGCTTGTTATGTCCTGTCCTGGGTGTCTTGGGGAAGGTTTAATGTCTGCTCTGTTGTGCAAAAGCTCCTGTCATGGCTAACTTCATGCTGCTAGTGTGGACCACGAAATGAGGAGTTGGGAAGAGATGGCAACACAGCTTAATATACATCCCCACCAGACAGCTGCAATTGATGTGCATGCCCTCGTGGGTGTACAGAATGTGGTAAAACTAAAAAGAGGTGATAAGTTGGAGGCATTTTTACATTGCTTTTTAAAATATCATTTAGTTTTTTTAAGTAATCTCATTTTAATTTTTAGTAATGGCTATTTTATGAAAATTCCTGAAAATGTAAAAGTAGGCCCTTTCAAATGGGTATGACCAGTACCACTTCACTACTGGTCCTGTCCCATCAATAGCCACAGTCACCAGTTCCTATGCCTAAGAGACCCCAGAGTCTATTTCCTGACCCCTGGGTCTCTAGTCCCCTCCTCATGTAAGAAGCACTTTTGGTGCCTACTGCATACTCAGCACTATCCAGAGGCACTGTTCCTAGTCCCCACTCACATGGAACCTCACTCTAGGTGTCCTGCTTCCTAAGTCCCATTCATTGAGACCTCCTTCTCACAACCTGCTTCCCCAGCTATCCCAAATACTTTGAATTCTTGTGCAGGAAACAAGGTGTTTTTACCTCCCTCTCTGCCTCAGAGGGTGGGTCCCCATCATTTGACAGCCTTGATCCCCTTGAACTGCCAACTTCCTGCTCCTCCCAAGGACTCATCTACTGGGACTGAGCCTTTCTCCATCTTGATGTACTTCCTGTCCTATGTCCCTTCCTCTCTGAACTCAGGTGTCCTATCACTGCTCACAGCTGCAAGAATAACAGGCTCCATGGCCAGCCCTTGCCCAGCCCAGATGATGCTATAAAGGCCTTCTTTGAAAGAGGAAGAGAGAGGTGACACTCTGTGGAGGGAGCCTAAGGAAGCAAACATCCAGCCTTCCCATCCTGTGGCCCCAGGTCCCCCGACCTGGTGCTTCTCTTGAGGTTGAGGATCCATTCTGTGGAGATCAAAAGGGCACCCCAGCCTTTAGCTCTCCACCTTGAGACTCTGCTCTCAAGACTCTCTTTTGTCTTCTTTCCCTTCTAGGCCTTGATCACTTCTGGACTCAGCACCCTCCCTTCCAGCCCTACGTAGTTATACTGCCTCAAGATGAAGAGAAAAGCATTTTTCCTTCCCTGCTGGTTGTTTCACCTTCTTCTACTTTTAATCAATGGTGAGTGATTTTGTTACCAACTTCTGGGATGTACATCTATCCTTTTAGCTCTCCTTTGAGAAGAAGTCAGAATTGTTATTTTTGCTTTGCTTTGTCCCATTCAACACAGCTTCTGCCCTCTGTTTTGTTCCCAGCACCAACTCTTCTGCCCAGAAATCTAACCAATTCTCTCTATAATAAATCAATCCCAAATATAAATGCATTAGAGTTGGGAGGGATCTTAAAGTTAGTGCCTGACAGCCCATAGTAGACAGGAACCCTGTTCCAGAGTCCTTGACCTCCAGTTACACATTTTATAAGCCATGTTGTTCCATACCCACATGGCTTTAATGCCTTCTAGACTTTGTACGATTAGGGTTTTGGCTTATTTTTTTTATGCTTCTGAACTACAGAACCAATAAATTTTTTCTGCATTCACCAGCTTTTCATCTCAACTTCTCACTTTGTTTCTCTCTTGACCCTTGCCTTTACCCTAAGCCTAACTGGAAGCAATTAACACAAGGTTTTGGGGAACCTAAATTTGCATTCCTTATGTTATCCCAGACAATAGCAAAAAAGGAACACATACAGAGGGTGAGGGGCTGAATACCAATATTCTAGAAGATAGGATCATTGGTGATGTGAGGGGATATGGATATCTGGGAAGCCAAGCTCTTGGTTGTTACTGAGATGGAAAAATCAGAAGAGGGTACAAAATAGTGTACATGAGGTAGAGAGGAAGTCCAGATCTCACCTTGACTCCGACTAACCAATCAAGGAAGCTGAACCCCTTCCATGAATCCCACATCTTATTACTTCAAGTTATACCTGGTTGGTTTTTGCTAGACCATATGCTAAGTCCATATGGCATTCATTAAACTGGTGGCTCCCAAACTTTATTGTGTATGAGAATTACTGGATAGTTTTTTTCTTTAAAGTGCATTACTATTTCCCCCACATATTGATTTTCCTCCCTAGAAGAAAACAATGCCATTTGGAGAGTAGCTTAATTGGCACATATGACCCCTTCAACTTTCTCTCTTATGTTCTGTATCTAGATGGTATCATGGATAGGTAAAGAAGTAATAACACAATTTCCCTGTGACCCAGGTCACTGCCTCCCCACACCTGGGATATGGAATAACATATGGATTAACGGATGGCTCAGGGGTCAGATTCCTTGGTTTAAATCCATGTATCACTACCTACTAAAGGCTTCCTGGAACCAGTTGTTTCCTTTCTCTAACCCTCAATTTCCCCATCTGTAAAATGTGGGTAATAATAATTCCTATCTCATGGAGGTATTGTGAAGATTTGAGGCATTTAACTAACACTTAATCAATGGCAGCTATTACTACTATTGCTATGAGGATTAATACTAGTAGTTGCTGGACCAAAATAAATTTCCAATGGAACTAACCAGCATTCTTTCTTAATCAGCTGTAGCCACCAATGGTAACACAACAACAACCACAAAAAGCACCACAGCCACCTCCTCTACACCAACCACAACCATCTCCTCTGGGTCACCCACAGCCACCTCCTCTGGGTCATCCACAGCCACCTCCTCTGCATCAACCACAACCACCTCCTCTGGGTCACCCACAGCCACCTCCTCTGGATCAACTATACCTGGGATGGATACATCATCATCATCATCATCCAGCTCCAGTGGGACTAACACAATGACAACAACCTCCAATGTTACCAGTGTGAGCACTGCCTCTCCAGGGACCACGGGAAGCGTGGTCAGACACTTGAGACCCTGGGCAGTTGCCCTAATTGCACTGGCTTCTGTTGTATTGGCTGTGATTCTCTTCGTTGGGCTCACCGTCTCTCTTGTGAGTGTCTGAAGTGTGGGAACCCCTTTTCCTGAGGAGAAAGTACAGGATAGAGAGGAGGGAAGTGGGGTAGAGAGAGCAGAGTCACTGTAGGGCTGATGGGGAATGAGAAATCAGGAGAGAGTTGTATATAAACCTCAGCTTAGAATTAGAAGATGGAGGATAAGAAAAGCCAGGAGATACTGAGAGAACACTGAAGAGGGGAAGAAGGGGCCAAAAGAGGGACATGGAGGGGGCTGGGCAGGGTGTGGGGGATGGTGGGATTGGAGAGACAGGAAGAGAAGTCTCATGACTTTGAAGCACTTCCTTTTGTTTTCCAGAAAAGCTCACCATGCATAAGAAATCTCTTCAGCACAGACCTCTACTACCCCCATCTCCCCCACCTTGGTTCACGCCCTTAAGGCTGTCACCGGGCCCAAAACATGCCAAGTGTGACTGGAGCTGGTTGCAGAAACCAGTGTCTCCCTGAAACATGGAGCTTATTGGGAGACACAGTGTCCCTGAATGTCCCTAATGACAGAAGCATCACCATCCTGAGAGGGAGGGAGGCAGCTGACCAGGAAGACCAAGGCCCAAACTCTTCTCCTGGCTCTGTTTCAGGCCCCAACAGCCTCCTTTCTCTGGTTTCCCCAGACTGCAAAAGGGAGGCTAGAGCTGTGAACAGATTATTAAATAAATTCATCTAGTATTTGTGGGAGCCAGACTCTGTGGGTGTTTATACATCACGACAGACAGGTTCCCACACCTGAGAGACCCCCTTTCCCTGTGTACTCCCAGTTCTCAGATCCCTTGAATGAAGTCCAGAGATCTCCTAGGTCCTGTTTTCTTCCCCACTCCTTCCCATTCCCCAGGAAGGACAGGGAAGGCAGGTGCTGGGCTTCATGAATGTGGAATTTGTGTCTCACAGTGGGAAACAGTATCTGTGTGCGCTTAGAATGTGCAGAGGGGGAAAGTGACCCTGCACTCTGCAAGGCAGAGAAAGGATTGTCATGGGGCTGCCCAGGCAGGGCCACATTTCCTCTCATCACTCTGCAGAGGTTGTCATAGGAGGCCAAGTGTGTGTGCCACCTTCCCCTCCCTGAGCAGATGTCCTGGGTCAGGAGAACCACTCCCAATTTCTGCAAGGGCAGGCCTGACTGGCCCTGCCAGGCTCCAGGCTCTCAGAAGCCCCTGCCAACCAGGCCTCAGGCAGGGGCACAGCACTTATCCCTCCATGTGCCAGCACTATGCTTTTGCTGAAGGCTCAGCCGGGTTGGCTTCTTGGGCAATTGGCTGGTCATACACATGCCTCTGCCCACTTCTGGCTGCAAATCAACCATTTGCTTGTTTTATCGATTTAATCCTGCCAGTGTCTTCCATCTGGGAGGTTCTCAGGCTGGGTCTTTACCAGAATAAAGCTGATTCTTCAGGTACATTTTACCACAGAGTTAACAGGACAGTTTTTAACAGCTGCATAGTGAGAGTATCACTGGGGTGAAATTCCATTGGTAGGAAATTCAGGAATAGGCAAAACTAACCTATGGCTATGAGACCACATCTGGTCTCCTAAGAGGATGAGAATTTCTAGGAAGGAGGAACTTCCTGGATGATAGAAGTGTTATATGGTTGGCTAGATAGTTCACAGGAAAGAAATTGGTCAAAATTCATTTAAGTGAATGCTTAAGATCTGTGCATTTCACTATTTTATGTTAATAAAAATTGAAATCATGTAATAGGTTGTTACCGTTTCTGTTTTTTTTTTTATAGTACTAGGGATTCAACCCAGGGGTGCTCTGCCACTGAGCTATACCCCCAGCCCTTTTAAATTTTTATTTTGAGATAGGATCTCACTGAGTTCCCAGGCTGGACTCAAACTTGAGATCCTCCTGCCTTAGCCTCCCAAGTAGCTGGGATTACAAACATGCTCCTCCAACCCTGGCTATACACTCTCTCTCTCTCTCTCTCTCTCTCTCTCTCTCTCTCT